AGTGGGGCGACTGGCCCTGTGTGCCCACAGCCACCTCCACCGCGGAGGGACGGGGCGGCAGTGGCAGCGCTGGAGGCAGATTTAGGGAAACACTCCACCATGGTGCCGCCCAGCTCGCAGCCTCCTGCAGCCCACTGTAACCAGTGTAAGCCAGTATGGCCCTCTGGGGAGGAGGAGGTTGGAGCTGGGGGTCCCAGCTGGGGTGGCAGTGGTGCTGAATTTCTGCTCTCGTCCTCACGTGTTGGGACAGATGTTGTCCCTGAGGTCCCCTCAGCCCCTGTCTCAGGATGCCAACAGGGCTGCAAACAAAAAAGCATCATCCCCGAGAGATGCCCACAGGGTCTGGCACCCATAGGGCAGACCTCCGGGCAGCACTCAAGGTTCCCCCATTTTCCCCCATGCCTGCCGGACAGGTGCCCGAGGACAGGCTGACACGCCAGGCTGGTGTCACGGTCTGTCCCACGGGCAGCACGCTGCCTCTGTCACGGCCAGCGGGACCGGTGCCCGCAGCGGCAGGGAAAAAAACCAGATCGCTCCTTTTTTAGGCACCCATAGGGCAGACCTCCGGGCAGCACTCAAGGTTCCCCCATTTTCCCCCATGCCTGCCGGACAGGTGCCCGAGGACAGGCTGACACGCCAGGCTGGTGTCACGGTCTGTCCCACGGGCAGCACGCTGCCTCTGTCACGGCCAGCGGGACCGGTGCCCGCAGCGGCAGGGAAAAAAACCAGATCGCTCCTTTTTTAGCGCCGGGAACACTCCACGCTGCCGGGAGCGCTACCCGAAATGGTTGCTCACCCGTGTTTATAGTCTCCCTGAGCCAGAGTTAATCCAGCAGCAGTTTGTTTATGCCATAGGTTAAATAGTGCCAGGAGCTGGCCCTAATGGGCTGCGTGATGGGCTGGGAAACGCAGGGAGAGCCTCGTGCCGGCCAGAGCAGCGTCCCGACCCTGCTCCTGCAGCCTCCTTGCACCTGGGGCCGGGGATGTGGTTCCCTTTGCTGGATGGGGAACGGTGGCCCTGGATGCAAGTCATGTCCAGGCTCAGCCATGCCTTGGCCCTGGACGCACTGATTTTTGGGGAGTGCCTATGCAGTGGATCAGGAGGGTCTGGGTGGGTTGCCAAACCCAGCAAACTGCAAACCCGCCATAGGCTTTAGCCCCAAATGGCCGATGGTACCCTGCTCCACCTGCCTTCACACACCCTCAACCACAAAACGTGTCCCAGTCCCCAAAATAAATCTTCCCACTGTGGAAGTCAGGTCCTGCAGCTACTGCATGCCTCCGGCAAGGGGTGGGAGAGCTCAGCAACACATTCCTCATCCAGCTGGAGGAAATTTGGCAAAGAAACCCCCAGGTGAGAGTGATGTGCTGGGACTTGAGGCTTCTGCAGATGAGTGCTGGTGGCCATGCTCACCCCACCACCTTTTCCTGTCTAGGTGGGTTTTCCTCTATGAGAAGGGCTACCAGTCTCAGGACAGCATTGTCAGCTCGGTCTCGGTGAAGCTGAAAGGCCTGACGCTGACCAACGAGAGTGTCCTGGGCCCTCACATCTGGGATGTGGTGGATTATGTTTTCCCACCCCAGGTAAGGAGGCAGGGTAAGGGGGTGCTTTTGTCCTGACGGCTGCTCTTCCCCACGTGCTGGTGTGCAGATGGGCTCCTTGGCAAAAGCTTTCCATGGCACGGTGTACCTGTGGGGGAAAGCAGGTTGCTCCTGCCACAAACTTCTGCCCACGTATCACCCCTGGGGAGCCATTCGGTTGATGGGGCATGTTTGAGGCTGCCTCCAAAAAGCTCAAGGCTTCTCCAGTGCCTCCACATGAGCATCTCAGGCAGCAAGGGGTGTCCTCCACTGTCCCTGGGGTTGGTGGCACTGCAGCTTCCCAGGGTCAGCTTGCTGACCTGCGCCAGGGGAGGGTGGAAGACCCAAAGTTAGGGAGAAAGGTGCCATCTGCCTGAACAAGCCCCGGCGGTTTGGGTGCCCTACCCCTTGCTGCAAGGAGAGGCTCCTCGCAGAGAGTCCATCAGAAAATGCTGTGCTAGCTGTGAGCTTGTTGGCTGTGTCTCCACAGGGGGACAACTCGTTCGTGGTGATGACCAACTTCATTGTCACCCCTGGACAGAAACAAGGAACCTGCCCGGAGGTAAACACACTGGCTTCCTTCAGCACCCTCAGCCCCTGTAATGTGGGGGGTGGGTTGTGGTGGTGGCACCGGGGAAGGAGTTTTTCTGACACTGAGAGGTTTAGTAAAAGCTTGAGCCTGGCCCCACATTATCGTTCCTGACTTGTGAGTGCCATGTGAAGGCTTTTATTCTGCTGAAAAACAGCCAGCATCCCCTTAAGTTTTCTTCCCTTTGAGCTGATCAAGAAAAGCAGGCTCAAGGCTTAAATAAAAGCATCTGCCTGGAGTTTAAAAAAGAAATTCCCCTTTTTCCTGCTTAATCTGGACATCCTTGGTTGGGAATTGGTGTATGGACGAGGCTCTGGCCACAGCTGAGTGGCGTTTTCCCTGAGGAAAATGCTGCCTGGCAAGGCAGGAGGGACAGAGGGACTGAAACGGTGGGGTGTGATGCTGAGAGGAGGCTGCCTGCTCTCTCCAAACAGCTGCCGGACGCCGGGCTCTGCACGCAGGACAGTGACTGCAGCAAAGGGAAATACAGCCGCCAGGGACAAGGTATGGCACACAGCACTGAAGCTCCGGCGTTTCTGGTGAGACGCACTGAGCACAGCGTGCTCTGGCAAAGCTGCAGGGCTGGAGCGTCTGGCGGGGGTGACCTGGTTTGGACCACCAGCCGGCAGGGTTTAGGGAAAGCCTCTGACATGCTGGGTGAGCGTTCCACCTGGGCTGGTCCTGCTTTCCTCTTCTGAAAGATATCTGAGCTGCAAAAAGCTCTGCCAATAAAAGGTTAATCAAGACTAAACCATTTCCCCCAACTGCTGTCCTTCTAACAGCTCGGCATTTTCTGAGGTGTATTTTAGCAAGAAAACTGCCCAGTTGCTCCCCTGTACAATAGTGCAAGAGAAACCACTGCCCTGAGCTGAGGTGCCACAATTAATTACCTTATTTATAAAGGGACAGCAAAGCCCTGAGTATTTTGCACTTCAGGTGTCTGCGGCAGGGCTGAAGCTCCATGCAGATCCCATCCGTCCCAGTACGAGGCTGGGATTTCCCAGGGTGTGAGCAGCATCCAGGGGTGTGAGCAGCTGTCTCTCTTCCCCTTCACAGGGCTCATGACGGGCAAGTGTGTGCATTTCAACAGCACTGTGAAGACCTGCGAGGTCTTTGGCTGGTGCCCCGTTGAAGTTGATGACCACGTTCCCAGGTAAGGAATGATCTTCTGGTGCCACCCCGGCTGCACCAGCAGCACTCGGTGTAGGACAGAGCAAGCTCTGGCAGGTTGCTGCCAGGGCAGACTGGGTCGATGCAGACCCCATGGCTGTGCATGCCTCTGGGGTGATGTGCCTCTCCTGGTGTGGTTTGCTCCTCACCTTGCTGCCAGCTCACCCCATCTCTGCTGGGTTCTCTGTGCGTGGAGCAGAAGCCCCTGTCTATCCCATTTACCTTCAGAGTAAAGTTGTGCTCTGCCCATGAGATGTTCTCCACCTCCTGCCTCCATGGAAATGCCTCCTGGTAGATGCAAAGTCCTTTTCTTCCTTGCTTCCCCTCCATGCAGGGGTGCCACAGGGACAGCCACAGATCTGCCACAGAGCCCAGGGAAGCATGCGGGCCCTTGAGCACTCTTCCATGCACGTCACTGTGTTTTTGGGGTTTCTTAACTGAAATTCCAGCACCTAACTCCCTCTCTGTCCCCTAACAGGCACCTCCTTCTTTCCTTGGGGCTTTTCTGAACCTTGTTGGGATCTTTCACTTAGAAAGGGAAGGGATGATATCACCAGTTTTTCTGGGTCTTGCTCGTCTGAGTTTGGATGAATCCCCACCAAATGGGGCTTTCCCTAGAGGCCAGACAGCCGAGTGATGGACACGTGTCAACACTTCTGTTTTTCAGCCCTGCTCTGTTGTCAGAAGCGGAGAAGTTCACCTTGTTCATCAAGAACAGCATCACCTTCCCCAGGTTCAAGGTGTCCAGGTAAGGAGGATAGATTCTGCTTGGTCCCCGTGTCCCTCAGAGGAAACCACGGGTGTGGCTGGGTGCTTGATATAGAGGATGCCGTCCCTCATCAGCGAGCCCAGAACTACTCTAACTGCTGCACCGATCACCAGATTAGCTGATAGGAACCAAGACATTTCCCTCCCAAATCTGTCCTACCTCGGCTGGTGGCTGTGGTTACAGGAAAGGTTTCTGGAATTAATGTCCCCTGAGTTACCCTCACATGATGCACATGAATATACAATTTCTCTGATTCTTCATTTTTCTTCTCCCTTTTCCTCCCTGAAGATAACAGTAAAATACTAGATGGCACAGTGGGGTGAGGAGTCAGGACAAGCTTGGTGCCAAAAAATGAGCAGAGTCCCCTCTTAACATCACAGTTCCCACCTGTTTCTGCAGCAGGTTATAGGGTTGGCCCCTTCCAGGCAACGCTGGAAACGGTGCTGCCGCCTGAAGCCACACGCGTAAGAGGATTTATGATGACACTGATTACATATCTGATTTGGAACAAATTAACAGAAGCTATTTGTGCTGAAGACAGCAGATTCTCCTCTCTAAGCCGATCGCATCCCTGCGCTGTAGCCAAGGTTAAATGCCCCGGCAGCCGGCATGCTTGGCAAAGTCTCAAGCCGACCTCGCGCCAGCAGCCAGGAGAGGTGGCAGCCTGAGCGAGGGCAGGCAGGAGAGGGGACGTGGTGGGCAGGAGCAGGTCCTGGGAGGCGAGGGCAGCCAGGCTGGCTGCTGTGCAGGGGCTGAGCCGGAGCCAGCTGGGGTCATGGGGAAACTTCCTGCCTTTGATCACTACTGCTAATTAACTGCTGAGCATAAACGATGGGACGGGGTTGAGCAAGGCATGAGTCTTACAAAACCATCTGGGTCAGGGAGGCTTCACAGAAAGACTATTTGTAGGGGAAAGAGCAGAGTGAGGTGGAAAGCAAGATGTTGTCCTTTCCTTTTCACCCTTTCTGGAGGAGAAAGCAAAATCCAGCTAAACGTAAAAGCTGCGGGATACATTATCCAGGAGCTGTCCCAGATGAAAACTGTTGGTGCACGGAGCATTGCCTGGTAGAGCCCATGGATGAGCTGATGTGCGAATGGGAGAGGCAGCTGGGAGGGATGGTGGAGGCCACAGGAGGGTTTGCAAAGCCGAGGAATGAGAGAGGGGGTTGCTGGAAGGGGTGAGGACAGGCAGACGTGTGCTGGGTTTGGGCAGCGGGCAAAACAGCAAACCCAAAGTGGAGGTGGACAATGTTTGCAGGAAAGAAAATGGCAGAGCGGCTTCCTCCACAGGAGGAGGTTCAGGGACATGAGTTGTTGATGGGGTGGGAGAAACCAGGCGGGGCTGGAGGAAAGGGCCCGCTCTCCACGTGTGGGGTCTGAGGAACGCATGGGGGAGGAGGACGAGGCCCTGACCTTTGGCATTACTGGGTTTTGAGCAATAGGTTGGACCAGGGACCTCCAGAGGTCCTTTTCCACCCAGATGATCAGGTTATTCAGACTCTTTCTCACTCTTTTCATTCACAGGCGCAACTTGGTTGAGAGTGTTACCAAACAGTACCTGAAGAAATGCACCTATCACAAAGTCACCGATTCCTTGTGCCCTGTGTTTGACCTGGGATACATAGTGAAGGAATCGGGTCAGAATTTTACCTTCCTGGCTGTTAAGGTGCTTGAATTTCAAATGCTGTTTCTTGCTGACGTGGAGAGGGGGCCAGTGACAGAGCAATCATCCCCAAGGGGTTGAGACACGAGGGGTCTGTTTTCTCAAGGACTCACGAGGCAGTGTCAGAATTAGCTCTTAAAGATTATGAATCTCCTCGGAAGTGGCCTAATATTTAAGCCTTTCTGGGAAACTCCCCTGTAAGCTTGACAAGATTTGACCCACTGACAGTAAATCCAGGGTTTGGTTTGTTTTAATTTGTGCAACAAATAACTGGAGCTTCGTGGCCAAATCCCATTCGATTGAGCTCGGAAACCTTGGCTGGATGGTGAAATATTGGTCATTGCGCAATGCAAACTGCAGCCTCTCCTCAGGCTCCGAAAAGCAGCTTTGCCCAACGCTTCTCGGGGTGGGATGCAAAAGTATCTGCTATTTCTGCACTGCAGAGCCTTAAGCTAACTTTGCCAGGCATTAAATCAAATCCGAGGCTTGTATATATTACAGGTACAAACAGACGAGCCTCTGGGGCACAGCTGGTCACAACCTGGAGCGAGCTCAGGAGGGATTGCTTCGTTTCCTAGCAGGTGGCCATTTCTCTTTGAGGAGGTTTTCTTCTGATATCCATGGATTAGTTTCACTCTCCTCTACGTCCATCTTAAATTGCCTTTTGATTTTCCCTGTGACATTAAAGGTTTGATGGCAGGGCTAAGCCACAGGAAAGGCGAATCTCCTGGGCAAAATCAGGCAAGAGAAGGCTGTCCCACAAGGACCGGGGGGAATCCCTGTTTCTGAGGACCATCAGGGTGCTGATCAGGAACAAGAGGGCATGAATTTAGTTCTGTATCCAGCATTTTGGGCAGAAGCAGCGCCTCCGCGTAAGGTGATGTACAGGGCACAAAGCTGAGGCTGCCTGGGAGGGCTGAGGCTGTGTGTGTACCCTGGAGGGCCAGGACACCTCATAGTGTCAAGACAGGCCACGCATGAGGAGGGAAAGCATTTCTTGGTGCGGGCCAGGTCCAAGGAGGGGCAACCTCACGAGTCCCCTCTCTTCTGCAGGGCGGAGTGGTGGGCATCACCATAGACTGGAACTGTGACCTCGACTGGCCCGTCCGGTACTGCAAACCCATTTACCAGTTCCACGGCCTTTACAACGACGACAGTAACGTCTCACCGGGCTTCAACTTCAGGTAAGGAGACCCCTGTTAACTCTCTAGGCAGAATTCAGAGATGACATCTTTCAGGATGCTGCAGCACTCAAGGGATGGTGGAAGATCAGGGACTGTTCTCCAAAATACTCACTTTAGAATGCTCTCTAGAATGGCATGAGAAAAGTGATAACCCATGCCTTGGCCTCCAGATTACCCCGTTGCCTTTCCCTGTGCATCTTCTCCCCCTTGCAGACTCTCCCACTCAGCTGAGCTCTTGGGAAGCCCCTTGAAAGACTGGAGATGGTGCAGGGTCATCTCACGTGTTCCCACGCTTCAAAGCGTTCAGTGAAAACATGACATTTAGGTGTGAGCTGCTGCTCTGTGCGAAGGTGTCACTGCTGCTGCACTAATATCTGCTGTCACGGATCACTTGGGCTCATCAGGCGTCGGCACAAGCAGAAGCTCTAACTCCAACTTGCAGGCAGGGAAACTGAGGCACGGAGGGGAGAAGTGCCAACAGACCAGCTCCTTCGGGAGGGTTAAGGAGAGGGTCAGGAGCAGGCCTGTTACAGCACAACCCCAGATCTGTGTACTGCTCTGCAGCCCACCAAGATCCCAAGGCATTCCCGTTGGGTTGCAGGGGGCTGTTAGACACCCTGGCAGGCCATTAACGCTCACCATCCAATCGGACAGATATGCCAAGTACTACAAAGAAGATGGGATGGACAAGAGAACGCTCTACAAGGTGTTTGGGATCCGGTTCGACATTTTGGTGAACGGCAAGGTAAGGGTGGCCAGGCGCTGGGGTCACCCCCTGCTCCCTGGGGCGGCAGTGCCATGTCCTCAGGAAGGTACCAGCCCTGTAACGCAGCGCCAGGATCTCGTGGGCCAGGAAAACTGGTGTGAGTGGGTTCCTTGGGTGCTGGCTCGCTCACAGCAGCCCTTAGGAAGTGCCAGGGAAGGGAACATAGAGAGGAAGCCCACTTTACACGTTGCATCTATCAGCTGCAGTTCGGTCAGTGGTTTTGTCACCAAAAAACCTCATGATGGGTTGGGGGGGGAAACTGTGGAAAGTCAAAATATTTTACTGATATTTCTAAAAGCTGAACATTTGCATTTTTGTATTTTGTCTTTTTTTTCTCACTGGGAGAGAAGGCTTTCCTCATTGTGTTCCCACTGGGAATATTTAAACGATATACTTTAAAAAAAAATAATAATTAAAAATACAGGAAACAAAGTAACTTCATTTTGTGTAAGCCTAAACCCAACCTACCATACTTTTCCGTTTGACCAATGAGCTTAAAACCAGCTCTTACCCAGCTCCTCTTTCTATCTGTGCTGTGGTTGTAGTTTGGGTTGCTGCAAGACACTTTAGCTGAGCCCCACCTACAGCTATGGCACCATTTTTTGGTTGGTTTTTTTTTTTTTTTTTTTTCCCCTGGGCTGATTGTAACACATCACCTATTTTCTCCAATTTATTCAGGCAGGCAAATTTGACATCATCCCAACCATGACCACAATTGGCTCTGGAATTGGTATTTTTGGAGTGGTAAGTTCAGATATTTTCAGCCTCTATATGGAGATTCTCAAATTAGTCTCCTTGCCTGTGACATCCACGGGGAAGTGTCCCTGAGCTGCAATGAAATACTGGTTCCCACTCAGACAACAGGGGATGGGGAAAGGAGGTGCTCTCCTGCCTTGCT